AAAGTCTAGTTAGGCATCCATCACCTTACAGTTGACCCCCAGTTTTTCTCTGTATCTATGAGCATTTATGTTTTGAAAACTGATGTTTCTTAACAAAAAAGTTTGGATGCCATCTTAACTCATTTTAGATTGTAAGATCTTTTTAAAGAGCATCTACAAACATTCTTAAATGTTGATGAGTTACTGTTTTTCCCATTATCCTAAACATTTTTTCTATATCCTAGAGAAGAAGGTACAAAAGTACTGGTGATGACTAGATTTCTTTCAGTAGATCCTTAAGAGTACAGTGAGGAAACTTACCTTGGGTTTATGTCACATTCCACATTTTAGGCAGCTTAAAGTCACTATCAGCCTAAGAATTGTGAGTGTATTCTTATTACAGAGTTTGTAGTTTTACCCTATTTTGTTGACTGTTAAGAATGTAAACTAGGAAAATAGACAAACTCTGAAGTTGCTGAGACACGAGTTCATAGAACTTTTGGAGAGATCATAGTTCAACAGTGTGTAAGGTTACTTTGAAAAAATTAAGCTGAATGGCAGTTCTGTTTTTCTTTGTGCTTTTAATAAGCACTTGTTTTTAAGGGCAGTTTATACTTTTCCCACAATCTGTTAGAGGGTTGGTGAAAGGAAGAATTTTAAAGTTAGCAAAAGATAAAAATTAAATCTATTGGCTGAGGCCTTGCAAAGAAATGACAACAGAACCTCTTATTTACGATAGCTCAGGATTCCAGTTACACATGGCACACACGATCTTTTTCTGACCCTGTTGTCTGTCTGAATAGATGAAATTCCAGATGGTACTGGATGTGTGTTCTCCTTGACAGCTGTCAAAGAAAATGAACTTTGTTTAGTTAATGTCAGCTCGGATGCAGTTGGAATAGGTTTTGGAACATGTTTATTTCAGGTTGCATCTGGAGGCGGTGGGGTTGGAGACGGTGTTCAAGAACCAACAACAGGCAACTGGAGAGGAATGCTGAAAACTTCAAAAGCTGAAGAGTTATTAGCTGAGGAAAAATCAAAGCCTATTCCAATTATGCCAGCCAGTCCACAAAAAGGCCATGCTGTGAATCTGCTGGACGTGGTAAGCCATGCGAATGGGGTAAGCGCTAATAAGATAGCCACATTACTAGGAAAACACTTCAAAAGACCAAAAGTCACAAAAACGTACTGAACTTTTAACTGTTAAAGGCTGCCGTTTCAAAGCACAAAAGTAAAATTTTCTTCCCCTCACTCCATTTAGCCTGTTCCTGTTGCCCGGAAACTATCTGCCCGTGAACAGCGAGATTGTGAGGTCATTGAACGACTCATCAAATCGTATTTTCTTATTGTCAGAAAGAATATTCAAGACAGGTTAGTACTAGAGTACTAAATCAGACTCTAATACTGCTTGATGATTCCATAATCTTTTAAAGATACACGTGTTTTAAAATTTGGGGGCTTTTGTTCTACATCAGTGGATCATCTGCTGGTTTTGTTTTGCAGTGTGCCAAAGGCAGTAATGCATTTTTTGGTTAATCATGTGAAAGATACTCTTCAGAGCGAGTTAGTAGGACAGCTGTATAAATCATCCTTACTGGATGATCTTCTGACCGAATCTGAGGACATGGCACAGCGCAGGAAGGAAGCAGCGGACATGCTGAAGGTACTGTCAATGGCTTTGAATTTTCAAACTTGGGGTCACAGATACAAACACTACGTTGTTAATGCATTCTGAACCTTGGAGATACATAGTCTTCAGATGATGGCTAATCTTTTTTTTTGGTTGCTACTTGATTAGATTTTTAGATTCAAATTCCAGAGAAGATACTGGTTAATATAAATCTACCACACATAAAGTGGAGAGATTACCCCCACATAATTCAGGTTTTTTGATATCATAACTTAATAAGCATCTGTAATCTTTTTTTTAATCTAGGCATTACAAGGAGCCAGTCAAATAATTGCTGAAATCCGAGAGACTCATCTCTGGTGAAGAGAACTATATAATAAGAGACTTTGTTGACTCGAAATCTGCTAGTTACTGCCTACTTGAGTAGAATTTTATTTATGAACTCCTGTGTATTGCAATGGTATGAATCTGCTCATGTGAAGAGACTGGCTATAAACTGAAAATTTTACTCTGTATTGCAGAACAAATCATACATTTAATCCAAATAATAAATGGCTGTTTCTCAAGTTGCCCAGTACATATAATATACATCAAGTCTTCCTTGTGACCGTTTCATTTGAACTTTAAAAGAGCTGTGAATGTTCCAGTTGTACAAGCAGTCTGCCTGTGGATAAGATGACCTGTGTAATGTTAGTAGTCTTAAAGCTGCTGCCTAGTCCTTCAAGAAGAACGCACCCAGACACCATTTCCTACAACTGTAATGCATGCACACTATAAACTGGTCTGGCTTTGAAAAATGTGAGTTGACAAGTTACTCACAGTCACTGTAATCCATCTGTTCTTCGATTTATAGTTTTATTGAGCTTCTCTGCGACCTTTGATGTGTTAGTAAGAAAGAAGATCTGGAACGTTGACAGTGACGCGGTATGCGTAATGTGTAGCTATGCAGCCCTTTCACTTCTGGGCCCACGCTGCCCTAGTGCGTTAAAAATCAAAATATCTTTGATCTTTTCGTAAACCTGGAAGCATGAATTACATTTTCCTGCATTAAAAACAATCCTCTAGACTTGATTTTCAAATATAATTCAGATACATCTTTAAATTAAGTCACTTAGACCATGCTCCAAGATTCACTTGGAGGTGGGACTTAAAACCGAATCCTGTGCTGATCATTGAAGTATATCTTCTCTATCGGTAAAGAAAAGTTAGTTAACTTTTACTTCACACCAACAAAATACATTATAAAATACTGGTGAAACTCTATAATAATCTAAAGAAAAATACCCAGACACAGCCACACATCTGAAGGCTTAGACTACTAAAATGCATTCAGAGGTTGGGGGTGAGGTTTACAACATATTCATATTTTATTAAAATTCCCCAGGTGATTCTTGATATGAATTACATTATAAATTTTAAGAGACGGGTCAAAATCCTTAAGGCATCTAGCTCCATCTCTAACATACTGTATCTGTGATACATAATTTACTGAACATGTTAACATTTCTCTTAAGTTATGACATTTATGAAGGCCTCGTGGCAGGGCAACATGTCTGTTAACTTGAGCTTACGGCACCCCTTTACTAGCAAACAACAGGCTCAGCAACTGAGCTCAAACAAAAAAATGGATTCAGTCTTCTAGGATTGGTACTACTCACAAAGTAGTACCATATCTTGATAGAATGCACACTACCTAAGTGTCTGTTAGCACACACTTTAAAGTCACTTTGCCATCTTCAACATCAGTATAGCCGTCCGTGATTTAACTTCAGATACATCAGATTCTGACTACCATTTCAGCCTTTTGAACTTGTAAGGGGGAAAGACTTACAGTGCACCATTCTCCACTATATCAAACATTTCAAATTGAAGATGTTACCTTTAAAGACAGGCTATGGTAACGTACTTGTTGGCACTACACACCTTGTACAAGAAAAGCAAAGGCAAGAAAGGTATGGAAAGTTACAAAACCTTCCTTTATTGGCTCTCAAACTGAGGGAAGCTCTAATCTGTTGAGACGATCTGACGTTTACAGTGGACACCTGTATGTTCTTGCTATGTAAATAAAATTGCTGGTATGTATGACATTAAAGTTTTGTCAATAAATGAATTCTTCCTAACTTTGCTCCCAGAGAAAGGTTTAGATAATAGTGTATAAAAGTTTTACAAAATTTTTTCCTATTCTCAAAATTCTCAGAGATATCACATCTCCAGTTTTACACATAAAGACAGTGATTTGTTCCACGTAATCCAGGTAGTAAATGGCTAGAATTTCAGCACTAAAGCCATGCTTTCCTGCCTGTAAGGTTTTCTAGAAGGAATCAGATTGTGAACCATTTTGTATTTGTGTTTCACTTGGACCTTGATTTTTCAGATGTGGAAACAGTTCTGAGAATTGACTTGCCTAATGTATGGAGAGCTTAATTAGGTCTTGATTCTAAATCCTGAAAGCTTCCCTTACCTGAATACTTTTTGATACTCTCCTATGATTGGATATTTGGTATAATATTTGCCTCTATTTTCGCTCTAGTTACTTTTCAGTTTATCTCAAGTTGTAATCTGCTTGGGGACAGAAGCTGAAACTTAAAACTCATTTAAGTTTCCAGATTTATAAAATACTGCTACCTTAGTAATCCGGCAAAACAAGGGTGTGAGTAAATTTAATTATACTGAAACACAGGCAAGGACCTAGAAAACTGAATTAGAAACTTTCTGAAAAGTACAGATTTTTGTTCTTTGAAAGGAAACTTTCTACTAGAATTTCTACTGCCAACTATGGCTTAATGTATGTAATACTTTTCTTCTTCTTAAGGAGAACTATATTTGATTCATAAACAACAAAAAATTCAGAAATTGACAAGTTTCCAATACTATTTTTCACATTTCTAATGTGGACACTAGAGGCGCTGCTGGTATTCCTGAGTGAGATCAGGGAGATAAACCCCTGATATACAAGTATCCAAGACGGCGCCTGGGTGGCTCAGTCATTAAGCATCTGCCTTCGGCTCAGGTCATGGTCCCAGGGTCGTGGGATCGAGCCCCGCTTCGGGCTCCCTGCTCCACGGGAAGCCTGCTTCTCCCTCTCCCGCTCCCCCTGCTTGTGTTCCTGCTCTATCTCTGTCAAATAAATAAATAAATAAAATCTTAAAAAAAAAAAAAAAAAATCCACGAGTCCTTACTCTGCCCTCTTCTTCACTGTTTTTCCTCATCTCTAAAAAGGGAGCAAGAAGGATAAGATCGTTCTCTCATGAAACAGAATTTTTAAAAGAGATTATTCCTGGCAATCACGGTTTTCTGTGGTAGTCCTTATACCTGCGGCTCAGGAGATGAAATACCTCATTGTGTAATAAGCCCCTTGTCTTAACCACCCTGTGGAAATAAAATTACTCACGCTCTGAGGCCTAGAGTGTGCTCCATTCTCTGCGGTTTGACATGCATGAGCAAAAGTGTGAGTTCTGGAGCCAACCTTTGGTACATCTTGAGAAGGAGATGGGTAAGTCTGTTTGAACCACCTGAAGGATTTTTCATCATAGCTGCAGCCATTTTATAATGTAGAAATTCCTTTTTCCTATTTTAAGTAATGAAAGTCCATTCTTAAGAATGTGTTGTCCAACAACCAAAACAGTCTCAGGATTTGTTACTTGTCTGTGATTTATACTGACTCCACCTTCTGTTATCATCCGATACCTAAAAACAGAAATGTTTAATTAGAATCATCATTTCACTTACATTTCAGAGGCTCTCCAACTAAAACCACCTAGCACTGAATTGTTACACCTTCATGTTCACTCTACTAGGTTCTGCCTCCCTCAAGTGGTCTTCTAAAAGGAGCAGATTTAAGGCGTAAGTTTCTTGTTTAGTGGAGAAAAAGCTGGGATATTTCACAGCTTTACATAGAACTATTTAGTTGGTAGTGGTTTAAAAATGAATAGCGGAGGGGCACCTGGGTGGCTCAGTCGTTAAGCGTCTGCCTTCGGCTCAGGTCAATTGAGTCCCACATCAGGCTCCCTGCTCAGCAGGAAGCCTGCTTCTCCCTCTCCCACTCCCCCCGCTTGTGTTCCCGCTCTGTCAAATAAATAAAATCTTAAAAAAAAAATGAATAGAATGAATGGAGCACTGGGTGTAATGTATGGTGATTAACATAACAATAAAATAAAATTTAAAAAAATTGGGAAAAATACATCTCCCACATCTAAAAATAAATAAATAAAATCTTAAAAAAAAAAAAAAAAAAGAAATGAATAGCAGAATCACCTTCTGGAGAGTGATTCCCCAATCACAGAAAAGAAGCCTCCAATAAGGAAAGAAGACAATGCTGCTTTTCATGAGTGCCCATGAGATAGAAGTCACGACTATGTAGTCCTATTACAGAAATCTTTATGAAACTTGCTTATGAAACTGGAAAATCCTTGGAAATTATATTCTGAGGTTATGCAAATAATAGCAAATTGTTAAAATTTAAGACTTTTTTAGGTGAAACTGGCATCAGTAGCTTATCTAATTCCAGTTTGGTAACAATTTTTTGATGGCATATGTAAATAGGTTTTACTCATGTTATTTATTTATTCCCCAATTCATTCAACATTTATAGAACCTTTACTATGCACTAAATATATATAAAAATAGTACTGCAAACTAGTGGAGAGACCAGACAAATAATTCCCCAGGGATTAAATGCTGTCACCGCTAGGAAAGACCGCTCCGGGCACACACTGGGTGGGTGGGGGTCGGAAATTGTCCTGAAAGAAGACACATGGCAACTGGGAGGGTGAGCAGCAGTTACTTCCACAAATAGGGCGAGGAAACATGGGGAGTAGCTAGAAAGAAGCAAACTGAGAGAAAAAAAGGTCTAGAGCATGAAAGGCCTTGGAAGCCCTTGTGAAAGGCAAATGTTCATTTTCTCTTATCTGAATGTTACCAAATGACAAAGAAACCGCTACTACACATGAGTTCATAAAGCTCTGTTTTCTATTTAAGGACAGATTTCTTTCTCCTAGGAAGTGTTATTTTGGGCTATTTGCTATAGTTTCCAGATCATGTTCTACATTTTGTTTAAATGCACAAGCCAATCTTACTTAGCTTATACAATCTTAAAAAATGTATTACTTAAGAATTCCAAATCAGATATGGTGTCATCTTAAGTCGTGGTAAAATTTCCAGTATCAGTAAATAAACCACTAGAAAATTCAGAAGAAAACCAAAAATGCTTCCACAGTAAGGAAAATTCTTAGAACCAGTGACTCACTCTGGGGAGATATATGGTACGACTCCCAATTCAGTGTACATTAAATAATGAGCATAGTAGGGAATCAAATAGGTAGAATGCAAGTGATACAAAGACAATGGATATTTTCTCTATACAGAATAATCTAGGGTTCTTCAGGATAAAGGCAAATAACCCAAAACAATGGAAAGAAAACAGCAACTACAACAAATGTCATTTATAATCATGAATATGGGCTGATAAGCATTTGACTTAATGCTCATACTCCAGGAGATGAGGCACCCAGGGTCTTCTGGCTAACTAATGCTTTTCCTTCTACATCACACTGTTTCAGTTATAAATGCGTAAGCATCAGGTATATGCCAGATTACTTTGTGGAACACTTTATTCCCTCATAATACCACATAACTGAGCAAAAAATATCCTACCTACTTCTTGAATAAGAAAAACGGAATTCTCAAGAGGAATAGCATGTAATTTATAATACTAGTTTTAGGAAGTAACATCACATGCTTACTTCATTTTCAGAAATTCAACTAATACATTTTTTTTAATGTTTTTTAAAATTTTATTTGTCAGAGAGAGAGAGCGCGTGCCTAAGCAGGGGGAGCAGGAGAGGGAGAAGGAGGCTCCCCGCTGAGCAAGGAGCCCGATGCGGGGCTCGATCCCAGGACCCTGGGATCGTGACCTGAGCCGAAGGCAGACGCCCAACCAAGAACCACCTAGGTGTCCCTCAACAAATATTTTAAATAGGTTGGGCAACCCCTCTACTCCCTCAAAGACCATACAGACTGAATATGAGAGGGGTCATGTGAATCTGTTCACTTTTGATCTCAAATTGTGACTATCCCTGAGCTGACTAATCCCAGTGCACCTGCTGACCATAGTGGTCCCTTCAATATAGGCCTTTCCAGCGCTGGAGGAAAAAGGGAGTTAGACTCAATGAGAGACAACAGTAGTACCAGATTTTACAGAAAATTTAGACTGTTTTCAACGATAAGTACTCCGTTTTCACTGTATTCCTGGACTAACCTAACTTCTCCCAGGAGTGAGACACCATTATGGCACTATCAGGAAAACACCCTCTGGAAACATGCTGTGGACTCTAACATTTAATGTTGAGTTAACTGTGAATAAAAGTTAAATCATCTTACCCTCGGGGACCATCTGGAATGGCATTTGCTTTGCGGCATGTATCTAGGACACTTGTTCCTGGATCAAGAACTAATTCAGAAAATGAAGCTTCTTTAAACAACTCTTTCAACTCTTGATCAGACATGACCTCCAGTGCATCAGTACTGCTATGATAAAGGGCTTGCGTACACCTGGAAACACATCAAGACCACATCACGTGAGCGCCTGTGCTCTAACAGCCAGTTTTCAAACAGCAACGTGTATCTTGTATGACTCATTCTTAACTCAAGAGGATCCTTCTTTCCAAAAGAGGCTATTCTAAAGCACTGGAGTGTTTTAGAATACTAGACACTGGAGTGTCAGTGTAAAGCACTGACAACCTTGTTAGCGGTAAATGACAAGATAACCCTCAGGAATTTTCTCAAGCCTATTAATGACATAACTTTATCCAGTGTTAGTTATTCCTAAAGGCCACCTTTTAGCAGAATCTAGCCCTTCTTGTCCATGAACAAGCTTCGTAACTTCTGCAGCAAGTCGTTTCTGAGGACCCCGCTTTTCTGGCTCTTTGTCATGCAGCTGCATGATGTGGTCAATCTCTGGCAGGGGCAGAAAAGTGAAGAGCTTCAGGTACCTGTGGAACAAAAAAACCAGTGCTGGTATGTATAACACACCTAACTTCTGTCTCCAACTCCCTTTCCCTTTAAAAAACATCCTGTCTACTTTTAAATTTATATTTTTTAAAAGAGTTGTTTAGAGAGAGAGAGCGTGTGCATGAGCACGAGTAGGGGGGAGAGTGACAGCGAGAATCCCAAGCAGACTCCCTGCTGAAAACAGAGCCCGATGTGAGGCTCGATCTCATGGCCCTGAAATCATGACCTGTGCCAAAACCAAGAGTCGGCCGCTTAACCAACTGAGCCACCCAGGTGCCCCTAAATTTTATGAAAAATAAACATGCAGAAATGTACCCCAAACAAGACATCCATGCACATATCACCCAGACTGAAGATGTTACTATTCTGCCATCTTTGCTTCAGATCTTTCCTTTTGAAAAGACGTAAAATAATACAGCTCTAGATGCCAGCACCATCATATTCCCCTCCTTGCCCAGAGATAAGCTAAATTTGTACATATCCTTCTTTTTAAAAAAGATTTTATTTATTTATTTGACAGAGACAGAGAGAGAGAGAGAGAGGGAACACAAGCAGGGGGAGTGGGAGAGGAAGAAGCAGGCCTCCCGCCGAGCAGGGAGCCAGATGGGGGGCTCGATCCCAGGACCCTGGGATCATGACCCGAGCCGAAGGCAGATGCTTAACGACTGAACCACCCAGGCGCCCCGTACATAGCCTTCCTAAGCATGTTTTAATACTTTTGTTTTATAAATAAAAAATATGTGTAACTTGAAAATTGACATTTTATACGTAGCCTTTAAAAACATCTTTTCTTGGTGAAAACCACATCACCAACATTGAGTTTAATGAATCAGAAAGCAAACATCTACATAACCATCTCCTGTCTAGAAATACGTCATTGCTTCTACTCAAGAAAGCCCAGACGTACCACATCCACTTCCCCCTCCAAATGACCCACTCTTCTGCCTTTCAAGGTAATCTCTTCCTTGTTTTTCTTCATACTTCTACTATTCTGGTATCCTCTGGTAAACAGCGTCGCTTCGTTTTGCCAGTTTTTAGGGCTTTATAAATAAACGGACTCATACAGAATATACCTTTGTGTTTGGCTCCCCTGGCACATCATTATGTTTAGCAGGAGACTCATTCGTGTTGCTATGTGTACTGCTCTTCTGTACAGCAGTCTGTGCTGTGACTATTTCGCATAAGGTATTTCTTTCGTCTACCGTGGCTATTCTACTCTTGGACAGCTGCTGCTGATGCTGCTCGGACTATTCCCACGTATTTCTCTTGGGGCCTATGTGCGCTCCTTTCTTCTGCGGACGTACCCAGGAGAGGAAGTGCTGGGTCGTAGGCTTACGTGCATATTCAGGTTTAGTAAACACAGACACATACTTTTCCGAAGTGCTTCTGTAAGCGTAGCCTCTGTGCCTGACATTAAGCCTCTGCCTGCCCAGGCATCCATTCCCAAGCCCTCCCTGACATGAATGCCCCAGCCAGCGGCACATCAACCAGGCAAAGCAGCAGGCCACCGCCGCACGGGAAGTTCCCCTCTTAGAAAGCTCTGGGTAACTCAGATAACTGACCACTTGAGCGATCCCGTTTCTCCCTTCCCACTTCCTACTTTCCGTTCTTATGTTTTAAATTTGTCAATAAAGGAGGACCTCACAAAGCCCCAGGCACTTCCCCCTTCATCCCAATACAGGCGGAGCCCCAGGACCATGCTCTCTGCCTCTCCCCCTAACCGAGACCTCAGAGTGCCCCACACCCTCCAGAACTTTTAGGGAGTAAGATCCTGTTTTTTGAAGTTCCCTGATGGTGGCTGCCAAGGTGCATCCTGCAATCATAAGAACCACGAAGACCAGTCCAGCTGCAAAACGGACTCTGGTGAGGGAAATGTCTGTAGGGGACACACAGTCCCACTAGGACCCACCACTCAGTGGTCACTAGGGGAGTTCTCCCTCCTCCTCACTGACCGGAATATCCTTTCCTCAGTAATTAGCCCAAAGCCTCCCCTGGGGCAGTGAGAACAGCCTTGGGATCCAGTCTGCCTTCATTAGCTCTCCTGGGCGCAAGGCCTGGAGGACCCTCATTTACCTTAGTCACTAAAGGCCTTTTTAATTAGCGGCCTAATCATCTCCTGAGTCCCTATGGCCTTGCACACACGGCTCTGAAGAGACTGAATTACTATGGCAGCAGTGACACTTCAGGAGAGAGACCACAGGCAACACACAGCAGAGGCGACGCGCAAAACCGAGCCCGGTGGGACGGCGTCCAGCAAGTGGCGCTGCGTTCCCCAGTGCCATGACCTGGCCGGTTGGCCAGTCACCGTAAGAAGGTGGAAGGTAAGGCAGTCCCCGCAGTTACCTGCAAGTGCTACCACACAGCCCTGCTGACTACGCCGTCTGCCCGCCATCTGTGCTCAGCCTACCGAGAGGGACGCCGGCTGTTGGGAATGCCTGCGGGCACTCGCCCGGGCCTCTACTACTTGTGGCGGGCCCCAAGAGACCGGACCATAGTGACCCAGATGACCCCTCTTCCCCTCTTCGTTTCTAAACCTGAAGAGGCCCCACGTGACCCGGAGTCCAGAGACTTCTTTTCATAAGGCGCTCCCCCTAATTACAGGGCAGCCCTACTACATTTTAATGGGACTGCTGGAACCATTTAAAAGGCACTGGAGGGCCCTGACACGGTGGCTGGATGTAGAGATTACTATCCAGGCACCCAGATACTTCAGACCTATGCCCTTCCACACCCACTGCCCCAGAGGAGGTTTCCCCTCGAGCAAACCTCCTCGCCCCTCCCTAGTAAACTCCCAACTTAATTTTGCCCCTTATGGAAATACACAGGTTAACCTCTCCTGGGAGTTACAACATCTCAGTGTTAGAGACAGCCAGTCTCTAAACTCTAGACCCTAAGACAGCCACAACCCCCTTCTGCCATCCATCCTCTTGTCACACAGCTGCCCTCTATCCCGACTCCAACCCAGTCCCCGCAAGTACCTCTGCCCTCCTCTCTAACCTCCAGGGTTAAGCCTCTACCCTAGGCAACGGGTAGCTGCCCAGGACTCAACCCACCTCCCGCAAGCAGTGGCCCCTATGCCACTCTGATAGTGGGACAATAAAAATGCACGGGCCTCTTGGCCCTATTAGACACCAGGGCCCAATCACTGTTATTCCAGATAATCCCTCTAAATTCTTGAAAGGGAAACCCTTCTACCTACAGGGCATTGCCAGTTAAACAGTCAAAGGTGTACAAATCCATGCGGATGTAGCTAACTACAGGGACCACTTACTTCAAAGGGCTTCTTCTGGTGGTAGCTTCCTTGGCCCTTTCCTTATTATGGGCATGGATGCACTGACACAATGCCATGTCACAGAGAACCAGCCCAAGTTCTTGACCTTCCTGGTGGGATTTACCAAGTGGATGCCAGGGACTCTTCCTCCTGTGGGCAAGATGGTAAACACCCCCCAATACCACTTTAAATAGGACACTAAAGGCCTATACCCTGTTATTAAAGATGTTGAGATGGAGTCATTAAGCCCACAGCCTCAGCTTTCAATGGCCCCATTTGGTAGGTATGTAAGCCACTAATGAATGGTACTTCTCCATTTACCTTCAAAACCTTAATACTAAGGTTCCCCCAATTAAGCTACAATTCCTAGTATTATATAATTAATTAAGAACACATACTTCTGAGACCACAAGCACACTAGTATTCAATTACAAGGGTCCCAAAAGGAAAACAGAGAGAGTAAGGGGCAGAAAACTGGAGAAATAACAGCTGAAAACTTCCCTAACCTGGGGAAGGAGACAGACATCCAGGTCCAGGAAGCAGAGAGAGCCCCAAATAAGAAGAACCCAAAGAGGTCCATACCAAGACACGTGATAATTAAAATGGCAAAAATGAACAGTGATGGATGAGGTCACTCCCCTGAGGCTACCAGCTGATTTTTCAGCAGGCCAGAGGGGGCAGTACAGTGTATTCAGAATGATGAAAGGAAAAAACTACAACCAATACTCTCCCCAGGGGCGCCTGGGTGGCTCAGTCGTTAAGCGTCTGCCTTCAGCTCAGGTCATGATCCCAGGGTCCTGGGATCGAGCCCCGCATTGGGCTCCCTGCTCAGCGGGAAGCCTGCTTCTCCTTCTCCCACTCCCCCTGCTTGTGTTCCCTCTCTCGCTGTGTCTCTCTGTCAAATAAATAAATAAAATCTTAAAAAAAAAAAAAAAACCTCCCCCCAGCAAGGCTGCCATGCAGAACTGAAGGAGAGATAAAGAGGTCCCCAGACAAATAAAAGTTAAAGGTGTCCATCACCACTAAACTGGCCTTACAAGAAATGTTCAAGGGACTTTTCTAAGCGAGAAACAAGAGGCCGTAACTAGGACTTAGAAAATTATGAAAGAAAGAATTTCACTGGTGAAAGCGAACAAACAGTAAAGGTACCAGGATCAATCAAAGCCAGTATGAAGGTTAAAAAGACAACAGCAGGAAAATCACTTCTATCTACACTAATTAGTTAAGCAATACAAAAGATTTAAAAAGATGTAAAATATGACATCAAATACATAAAACATGGAGGGGGGAATAAAAACATAGCAAATGTGTTTTGAATGTGTCGAAACTTAAGTGACCATTAACTTTAAAACAGACTGCTATATGCGTAGGGTGTTACATATGAACCTCATGGTAACCACAAACCAAAAACGTGTAATAGATACACAAAAAAATAAAAAGAATCCAAGCATAACACTAAAGAAAGTTATCAAATCACAAGGGAAGACAGGAAAAAAGGGACAGAGAAGAACTATAAAAACAATTAAAATAGCAAAATACACCTAACTATCAATGATTACTTTAAATGTAAGTGGACTAGGGGCACCTGGGTGGCTCAGTCAGTTAAGTGGCTGGCTCTTGACTTCAGCTCAGGTTATGATCCCAGGGTCCTACGATTAAGCCCTGCATCAGGCTCCACGTTCAGTGGGGAGTCTGCTTGAGGATTCGCTCTCTCCGTCTGCCCCTCCCCCAGCTTACATGCTTGCTATTTCTCTCTAAAATGAACAAATAAATCTTTAAATGTAAATGGACTAAATGCTCCAATCAAAAAACAGAGGCTGACTGAATAGATAAAAAAACCCAAGACCCACCTATATGCTACCTACAAGAGCCTCCTTCAAACCTTAAGACACAAACTGAAAGTGAACAGATGGAAAAAGGTATTCCATGAAAATGGAAAAAAACAAAAAAGCTGAGGTAGCAGTACTTACATCAGACAAAATAGACTTTAAAACAAAGACTGTAACAAGAAACAAAGAAGAGCATTAACATAATGATAAAAGGATTAGACCAATGAAGAGATATCATAAATACCTATGTACCCAACATGGAAGAACCTAAGTACACAAAGCAAATATTAACAGACGTAATGGGAGAAATAAGGGGCACCTGACCTGGGTGGCTCAGTCAGTTAAGCGTCTGCCTTCAGCTCAGGTCATGATCCTGGAGTTTCAGGACTGAGCCCCACGTTGGGCTCCCTGCTCAGCAGGGAGTCTATTTCTCCCTCTCCGTCTGGCCCACCCTCTACTAGGGTGTGCTCTCTCTCTCTCTCAAATAAATAAAATCTTAAAAAAAAAAATAGAAAGAAATGAATGATAATACAATAGAAGGGGACTTTAACATCCCACTTACACCAACAGATAGGTCATCTGGTCAGAAAAAAAATCAAGGAAACAGTGGCTCTGAACAACATATTAGACCAGATGGACTTAACAGATACCTACTGAACATTCCATCCCAAACACAGAATACACATTCTTTTTAAGTGCACACAGAACATTTTCCACAATAGACTGCCTGGTAAGCCACAAAACAAGTCTCATTTAATTTATGAAAACTGAAATCATATCAAACCTCTTTCTGGTGTGAAACTAGAAACCAGTTACAAGAAAAAAAACTGGAAAAAACACAGACACGTGAAGGTGAAACAACATGTTATTAAACAACTGATCGGTCAACAAAGAAATCTGACAGTAAATTAAAAACTATCTGGAGACAAACGAAAATGGAAACACGATGTTCCAAAATCAGTGGGACACAGAAAAAGGAGTTTTAAGAGGGAAATTTATAGTAATGAAGGTCTGCGTCAAGAAACAAGAAAAACCTAAAATAAACAATCTAACCTTACAACTAAAGGAATAAGAAAAAGAACAAAGCCCAAAGCTAGCAGAAGCAAAGAAATAATAAAGATCAGATCAAATAAAAACAGAAACAAACAAAAAGAGAAAGGAACCCATGTACACTGCTGATGGGAATGTAAGTTGACGCAGTCACTGTAGAAAACTGTATGGAGGTTCTTAAAAAATTAAAAATAGATATACCACAGGATCCAGTAATTCCACTAATGGGTAATTTGCTAAAAGTACATGAAAGCACTAATTCAAGAAGATATGCATCCCTATGTTCACTGCAGCATTGTTTACAATAGCTAAGATATGGAAGCAACCCAAGGGTCCATTAATAGATGAATGGATAAAGAAGTGGTATATATGCAGTGGAAAATTACTCAGCAATAAAAAAAAAAAAAAAATGCTATCTTGCTATTTTTGACAACTCCGATGGATCTAGAGGGTATTATGTTAAGTGAAATAATTCAGGCAAAGAAAGACAAATTCCATGATTTCACTTATATGTGGTATCTAAAAAACAAAACAATTAAAAAAACAAAAAAGTAGGAAGACCCACAAATACAGAGGAAAAACTAATGGCTGCCTGAGGGGAGGGGTGGTGGGAGATGGGAAAAATGGATGATTGGGAGTAGGAGATACAGACTTCCAGTTAAGGAATGAATAATCATGGGATGAAAGGTACAACACAGAGAATATAGTTAATGGTTTAAAAAAAAAAAAAAGGACTACTGTGGAAAATTATTGTATGTTCAATGTATTGAACAGCTTAGAAGGAAAGAAAAATTCTTAGAAACACACAATCTACCAAGACAATCAGGAAGAAATGGAAAATCTGAATAGATCAATTACTTGGAATGAAACTGAATCAGTAATTAAAACCTCCCAAGAAACAAAAAAGTCCAGGACCAGATGGTTTCACATGGGAGTTCTACCAAACATTTAAAGAGCTAATACCTATTCTTCTCAAACTATTAAAAAACTGAAGAGGAAGGAATGCTTCCAAATACACTGTATAAGGCCAGCATTACCCTGACAATAAAAACCAGACAAAGATACTTCAAAAAAAAAAAAGAGTATTGCAGGCTACATCCTTGATGAACACAGTTGCAAAAATCCTCACAAATATTATCAGACTGAATTCCACAATACTTTAAAAGGATCATTTCCCACAACCAAGTGGGATTTACTCCAAGGATGCACGGACGGTTCAATTTATGCAAATCAATCAACATGATACACATTAACAAAAGATAAAAACTATATGATTATCTCAATAGATGTAGAAAAAGCATTTGACAAAATGCAACCTCCATTTATGATAAAAATCCTCAAAAGAGTGGGTTTCCAGGGAACATACCCCAAAAGCCAAATATGAAAACCCTACAACTAACATCATACTCATTGGTGAAAATCCCAAAGCTTCTTCTCTAAGATCAGGAACAAGGCAGTGATGCCCACTCGCCACTTTAATTCGACATAGTATTGGAAGTCCTACTACAGCCAACAGACAGAAATAAAAGGCACCCAAACTGGTAAGGAAGAAGTAAAATTGTTGCTATTTGCAAATGACTTGATACTATATACAGAAAACCCTAAAGACTCCACCAAAAAACTACTGGAAGTAATATAAATAAATTCAGTAAAGTTGCCGATACCAAATTAATACACAGAAAACTGTTCCATTTTTATATACTAATAACAAACTAGCAGACCAGGAAATTAAGAAAACAATCCCATTTACAACTGCATCAAAAAGAGTAAAATACCTAGGAATAAATTTAAGGAGACCTGTACTCTGAAAACTATAAAACGCTGATAAAAGAAAGTGAAGATGACACAAATAAATGGAAAAATATACCACGCTCATAGGTTGGAATAATATTGTTAAAATGTTGATACTACCCAAAGCAAAGTACAGATTTAATGCAATCCCTATCAAAATACCAAAAGCACTTTTCACAGAACTAGGAACAAACAATCCTAAAATCTGTACGGAATCATGAAATAACCAAAGCAATCTTGAGAAATAACAAAGCTGGAGGTATCACACTCTCAGATTTCAAGATAAACTACAAAGGCAATAATAATCAAAACAGTATGGAACTGGCACAAAAATATATACAAAGACCAATGGAACAGAATAGTGAGCCCAGAAATAAACCTATACCTGTATGTTCAATTAATCTATGACAAAGGAAGCAAGAATATGCAGTGGGGAAAAGACAGTCTCTTTAATAAATGCTGCTGGGAAAACGGGACAGCTACATGCAAAAGAATAAAACTGGACCACTTTCTCACACCACACACAAAAATAAACTCAACATGGATTAAAGACCAAAATGTAAGACCTGAAACTATAAAACTCCTAAAAGGAAACAGGCAGGAAACTCTTGGACATCCACCCTAGCAGTATTTTTTGGATTTTTCTCCTCAGGCAAGAGCAACAGTAGCAAAAATAAACTATTGGGAATATACCAAATTAAAAAGCTTTTGTGCAATGAAGCAAACTATCAACAAAACAAAAAAGCAACTTGCTGACTGGGAGTAGATATTTGCAAATGATATATCTGATAAGGGGTTAATATCCAAAATATATAAAGAGCTTATATAACTCAACACCAGAAAACAATCTGACAAAAAAATAGCCAGAAGACCTGAAAAGACATGAAAAGATGCTCAACATCACTCAATCAACAGGGAAATGCAAATCAAAACCACAACGAGATACTGCCTCACACCTGTCAGAATGGCTAATATCAAAAAGACCGGAAATAAGTTTTGGCAAGAATGTGGAGAAAGGGAACCCTCAAGCACTGTTGGGGGGAATGTAAGCTGATACAGCCACTATGAAAAAGAGTAGGGAGGTCTTCAAAAAATTAAAAATAGAAATCTTTTTTTTTTTTTTTTAAGATTTTATTTATTTATTTGACAGAGAGAGACACAGCGAGAGAGGGAACAGAAGCAGGGGGAGTGGAAGAGGAAGAAGCAGGCCTCCCGCCCAGCAGGGAGCCCGATGTGGGGCTCGATCTCAGGACCCCGGGATCGTAACCTGAGCCGAAGGCAGACGCCCAACGACTGAGCCACCCAGGCGCCCCTAAAAATAGAAATCTGATACCATCCAGCAGTTCTACTTCCAGGTATTTACTTATAGAAAACAAGAACACTAATTCAAAAAGTTATGTGCACACCTATTTTCCCTGCAGTATTATTTACAACAGCTGAGATATGGAAGCAACCTAAGTGTCCACTGACAGATGAACAGCTAAAGAAGCTGTCATTTCCAAGAACATGGAGGAACCCTGAGGGTATTATGCTAAGTGAAATAAGTCACTCAGAAAAAAAAAATACCACAATTTCACTTGCATGTGGAATTGAAGAAACAAAACAAATGAACTGACAAAACAGAAACAGACTTATAAATACAGAGAACTGGTGGCCGCCAAAGGGGATGGGAGGGGTGAACAGATGAAGGGGATTAGGACATACAAATGTCCAGTTATAAAATAAGTAAGTCACAGGGATAAAAAGTACAGCACAGGAAATACAGCAATAATATTGTAATAATTTTGTAAGGGGGCAGCCAGTGACTACAATTATTGTGGTGAGCATTTCATAATGTATATAAATGTCAAATCACTATGTTGAACACTGGAAACTAATAAAATATAGTATGTCAACTCTACTTCAATGAGAAAAAAAGGACAAAAAAAATCTGATGCCTCTAAGTGCCTGACACTTAGCGTGTAATTGCCAAATTAGCCATTTTAAAGAAGTTCACTGTGAATGAACATACTGCTAGCCGTTACCATATAGCTAGTAGCAAACCAACTCGGTAAGTTATCAGGCCGCCCTACTCATGAAGTTCCTCTTTTAGAAAGCCCTGGGTGACTTAGGTAACTGACCACTTGAGTGACCCTGTTTCTCCCTTTCCTGTTCCCTAATTCCTGCTTTTATGTTTTAGATTTCCCAATAAAGGGTGAACCTGCAAAACCCTAGGCACCCCCCCAACTTTGTCTCCAATAAGGCCACACCCTAGCTCCACGCTCCCTCCCTCTCTCTACCCAGGAGCTTCTGTGTGGCCCTCCAGGACCTGTGAGTAAGAAATCTTGTTTTTCAAATTTCCCTGACAGTTGCTGCTGAGGTGCGTCCTGCAATCGTAAGAACCACTAAGGCCAGTCCAGCCACAACACTGGTTCTGGTCGGGGAAATGTCTGTGGGAGCTCGCCCCAAGTGGTACGTGCCCAGGCGAGTTCCTCAAGCATTTCTAGCCAAGAGCATCACTAGCAATCGGCGGAGACTGATTTGACAGTAAGTTTACTCTCCCACCACCTTGGAATAGTCTCACCACACCTGGTATTGCCATGTCTATGTTTATCCATTCTGGAAGGTAAATAACAGTATTTAATTGTGCCTTTATCTTGCATTTTCTCCTCATTATTAAGGCTGAGCAACCTTTTCCGATGTTTCTGGCCTTTTGGATAGAATCTTTCTGAAGTGCATGTTCAAGCCTCTACTTGTTTAGACTGGGTTGTCTCTTTCTTACTGGCTTATGGAATTTGAGTATAAGCTCTTTACACTTTTAGTACGTGTAACTGATAGTCTTCTATCTTAATGGTGACTTTTGATGAACAGTAGATCTTAACTGTAATTTAGTCTAATCTACCAATCTTTTTCTTTGTACCTCATTTAAGAATCCTTCAGAATCCTTAAGAATATCTTCATAAGATATTTTCCTATTTATCTTCTGAACACATGATTTATCTGTTGTTACAGAGTTAGGCTGACAATCTACCTGAAACTGACTTTTGCATACTGTGTGAGGTTAAGTTTCATTATTTTCCCCACATAAGACATCAAATTATCTAAGTGAAATTTATTGAAAAGATTGTTTTATCTGCAGTGCCACAGAGATCAAGTGACCATAGATGCTGGGATCTGTCTGGATTCTCTAATCTTTGCCATTAGTCTCTTTACTTAATCTTACATTTAGGCTTGTGCTTTAAAATCCAAAGGTTATTAGAATTAATAAGATTTTAGAAGGGTTGCCGGATACACAGTTAATCACAGAAATTAACCGTATTTTTATACATTAGAGCCAACAGAAAATGAAATTTTCAACAAGATGTCAGTTCTTGAAACAACAAAACCCTAAACTGTATCATCAAATATGTTTGGTATAAATCTGAAGGAAAAAAACCTTAATTACTGTAGTTTTATTAGGCATATTTTCTACTCTGGAAAAATTATTTTTGGGAAAATTGACCTTTTCTTTATTGCAGGCGTATTTTTCTCATTAGTTTATATTCTTTGAAGAGTTTAAGATCATGTGAATTAATGAGAATCATTTTTTAAAAAGGATTTTCAAAAGATGTTACAAAGAAAACAAATTTTAGAAACAAAGGTAAAACCAGGTTTAGTCAAGTTGATGATAAAAGGAGTGAAAAAACTAGAATACACCAGTGATAATGTCTTAAGTACTTGCTAGATGTAGATCACAAACTTGGCTCTGTTTTTCGGCAACCACACACAGTGTTTTTCTGTTCTAACCAACAAAAAACTGTTCAGAACAGTTAAAACTGCAATGTTCTGGGTCTTAAAATCTGAATGAAAACAAAACCAAAAAAGTACAAAGGGTACATAGAGATTCAATGGCTAAAATTATAACATGAGCTTATAAACCCAATTTTTCTCAGCATACCATTAAGAACTCACCTTTCTACCAAATCATCCTGCTGCCTGACAAAGAACTGATACAATTCAAATGGAGAGGTCTTATCTCTGTTTAGCCAAACAGCATTACCAGCAGACTTTCCCAGTTTTGCTCCGGTTGTACTTGTAATTAGAGGAACAGTGATTCCAAACACATCTTCTCCAGTCAACCTACGCGTAAAGAAAAACTTCATTATGTGCTTCAAGCACAAGTAGCGGTGGGTTCTGCTAATCATTCTTCAGATTTCATTCTGGTCCCTTGCTCTAACAAAACTTACTTTACCTTCTAAATTCGAGTTTTTGTCCCTCGTAATTGTTTTCACAGCACTCACTACGTTTTTTGCATTTTTCATTCTTTTTTTTTAAATCTTTTTTTTTTTTAAGATTTTATTTATTTGAGACAGAGAGAATGAGAGAGAGAGAGCACATGAGAGGGGGGAGGGTCAGAGAGAGAAGCAGACCCCCTGCCGAGCAGGGAGCCTGATGCGGGACTCGATCCAGGGACTCCAGGATCATGACCTGAGCCGAAGGCAGTCGCTTAACCGACTGAGCCACCCAGGCGCCCTATTTATTTGAGAGAGTGAGAAACTACATGAGAGGGGGGAGGGTCAGAGGGAGAAGCAGACTCCCTGCCGAGCAGGGAGCCCGATGCGGGACTCGATCCCGGGACTCCAGGATCATGACCTGAGCCGAAGGCAGTCGCCCAACCAACTGAGCCACCCAGGCGCCCTGCATTTTTCATTCTAAACTGCAATGGAACCAGTGACTCTGGGGTAGTTTCTGCATAACTAGGGCCTAGAAAACTTGAAAAGCCGAGGAAGAAGAGGAAAGAAAGCTGGGTAAGGGGAAGTCAGGTAGAGACACTAAGGATGTTTTAAGGGATTTTAAAAATGAGTACCACATGGCCTAGCCCTGTAGTTGAGCTCCCTCAAGAAAATGCGATTAAAATCTACCTTATTTGCCAAATATTTGGAGTTGAAAGAAATTTGGAGATGCCAACCCAAAACTAACACTAGCTTCATGGAACCTGCAGAGCTAAAGCAGAAACTACTCCAGGAGACACAGTCGCATTCAAGCATAAACAACGAAAAGCAGTTTCTCAAGTCAGAAACACAGAGTTACTAAGGGGAAGCAAAAGACACAATCTGAATCCTGACTAGTGGTCTATTTCCTGCAAAGCTCTAAGAATACGTTCCATGCCTAGTACCATTACTTCATTCCTTTAGTTCTCATTTAGCTAGTCACATTAACACCATTACAGACTTGATGGGGTAAACCAACAAGGGCTCAAAAAGGGCGTCATTCCCCAATCCTAATCGTGGATCACAGGCTATTCGTGTGTAAATTATTTGGTTACAAGATTTCTCCTGGGTCTAAAGGAGCTTACTTGTGGATAAACTCGTATCCGGACAAGATGTTGCCCAGCTGATCAGATCCACCCAGCTGGACCCGGCATCCATAATGCTGGAACAGATAGTAGAAGTCATAGGCCTGGAGCACCTGGTATAAAAACTCGGCCAAGCTCATGCCCTCGGGACTCCTGAGCCTGGCTTGGACGCTCTGACGGCTGAGGAGCGTGCCCATGCGGAACTGCCCGCCCACGGCCGCTAGGAAGTCCACCAGGTGCTGCTTCTGGTACCAGGCCGAATTGTCCAGTACCGTGAAGCTTCCCCAGGTGCGCCCATTAGCGAAGAGCTGTTGGTGATTAGCCCCCATGGCCTCGAGCCCCTGGCGCAGGGCGCGCGCATTGCTTCGCACGCGCTCTGGTTCCAGCGCCTCTCGTTCCTTGGTACGGCCGCTGGGGTCGCCCAGGCGCGCGGTGGCACCTCCCACCAGTGCGATCACATTGTGGCCGGCTCGCTGGAAGTGAAACAGGCCCAGCAGCGCCAGCAGATGCCCCACGTGAAGCGAGTCGGCCGTGGGGTCGAACCCGCAGTAGACGGTCTGGGGAAAGTTGCCCGTGCCGCGGTCGAAGAGCTCTGGGAGCTCTATATTCGTACCCCTCTCGGGGAAAAACTCCTTGAACAGACCCCGAGCCTTCTGCACCGCCAACAACCCTTGGGCGCCCGAATGGGACTCACGTAATCCCAGGAGCAAGACTCCAGGTGGGCCTGGGCTCCTAAACCACCGACCCCGGGAAAAGCACCGCAACATGGGGGCCGCCATCTTGGCGTCGGCACGGTGGGAATGCTGGGATTTTAGAGCCCTCGCCACACCCCTCAGTGCCAGCCTCCAGCAAGTTCTACGGAAATTGCTTCCGTGTTTTCCTGCGCATGCCCGGGCGGAGCGGGGCGGTCCCTTAGCTACGGAGCTTGAGTTCTCAGCAGTCGTTAGAGTTCTGATGACCCGAGGGGGGCTTCTGCTTACCGTCCGGTCACCTGAAGTTCGCTAAAACTTCACTCCTTCGTGACGGAGGAGTGTCTGTGATAATAGTTCCTACCTCAGAGGGTTCTTGTTTGGACTAAGAATGAAGGCAGTTGGCACCTACTAAGCTCTCTACAGATGTTAGATTTTAAGTTTTCACGTGAAAAAATTGTGATGCACAAGTTCCTTTGAATTCTTGGTTCGATGCAAAAACTTGTTCACAGAGGTTGTGATTGGGTTAGAAATTGGTTTAACTTACCGGAGAGAGAGAGTTGGCGTTGGGAACCAAACTCGTAATAGTGATTCCCCGAGCGGATGAAAGCGCCTCAGTCGCCAGTGTACATTAGCTTCTCCAGGAGGTGGCAGTCTTGCCCAAGCTATAGCGAGGGCAAACTCCACAATAAATTAAAGGCAGAAAACCCTGTTTTATCTATTTAACAATTACAGGTAACCAGCTGGGACACAGCTTTAGTATAAGTGGATTCAAATTAGTAATCACATTGCCACAGCATGGCAGGTGCCATCAGTACTCCACTCGCCAGGGATGGGGTTCTCATTGCCAGTTGGCTGGCACAGAATCCAGCTCCAAAACCCTATTCTAGAGTCTCATTTCTGGGACCACTTTCAATATCAACTGTGTAAGGTCGAGTTGGAGATTTGTGTGCAGAAGGATTATTGGGGTGTACTCTTGGAACAGCCTCTGTAATGGAGTGATCAGGGTTGAGCTGAGGGAGAAGTTGAACTGTGAACAGTTTGTAATAGGGGCCTCCAACAATCCCATGGGTGCCCTGGAGCTGGGCTTTACTTTCGGATTCATTCTAAGTTGAAACAAGGGACAGGCCTTGTTTATTGGCTAGCCATGAAATGTGGGATGCCCCTGGAGAGGAGGCAAAACCTTGGGCAAGGCTTTGGCAGAGAGCGAGATGCAGAAATGGACTCAGCTGTGAGCTATCAGCAACCAATAAACTCAGCAGCTGGGGGATTGAGCACCTGGATCCTGAAGCAGGCATCTGGGCCATGGGCCAAATTATTCCCTACAGGATCTTTCCATTTTGTAACATTATAAAGCCATTTAACAAAATGAAATATTATTTAAGAAATTAGTTTCTTTTCATGTATAATTATCAGTGAAGTGAGATTCTCGTTGCCAGATGGTAACTGTGACAGGATTTGAGATACTTATTCAACAGACTATGCAATATAATCCCAAATGCTGAAGAAACTAAGCAGGATGTGTTCTCCCATGTTGCTATTCAAAATATCTTAATATTTGCAATCATAACCTGTTCACCTGCAATCTTATTTCCCACCACTTTAATCAGAGACATAGTTACGTATGTGTAGCACACAGCAGATAGTGTTTTCTATTTAGTACCTAACACAGGAAGATTTGGACGTTTTTATTTTTATTTTTTTTTTAAAGATTTTATTTATTTATTTGACAGAAAGAGAGATTGTGAGAGAGGGAACACAAGCAGGGGGAGTGGGAGAGGCGTGGAGCAGGGAGCCCAATGCTGGGACTCCATCCCAGGACCCCGGGATCTTGACCTGAGCTGAAGGCAGATGCTTAACAACTGAGCCACCCAGGCACCCCTGAACATTTTTAAAGGCTATCTTTCATTCCTGAGGTTCTGGTTAATAATCTGTGTTTTTTATAGGTATGTTAGTAACCTTATACCCGAAAGTATGACTTCATATTGTGGTTTAATTAGTCATGTCAGGTGGTACATTTAAACTCTTGGAATTATATACATGGCTAAAATTTTATGGTCCTAGACCTATGACTTGAGCTTGGCTTGAGGAAAGGTGCACAAGTTGATTCTTATTGTTTCTGTTGGCTTAAAACGGAAATAAATAATGTTAAAAAGTATTTTAGAAAGCATGATTTATCTCAACTGTGCTAACTTGAAGTTACCCGACTTTTAATTAGTCACATCAATTTTGCAATTACCTTTTCCTGCAACAGAATGCCACATAAATATTCACTTTGAAAGCACCCCTATATTGTATGGTTTGGTTTCAAAATGTAAAAAAGTTGTAATAGTATCCCAAAGGCACAGAAAGAGTAATGATTAATACTGTTTTAATTGGTTTCTCACAGGTTATGCCCAACAGTTTAAAGTTAGGCAGCCCCACCAAATTCTGAAGCATTTCTCTATCTGTAGCATGGAACGTATTCAAATTACAGCAGAGATGTGGCTGGGGCTAGAATATAAGCTGTCTAAAGGTCACAGCAAAATCACAGCATTCTGATCATTATAGTCACTTCTGATCATTATAATCACGATAAAATATTATTCCTTTTTTATTTCCTTTTTTCTCTTGAAGACAGGTGGCACAGGTTTTTTCTGGCACAAAGTGGTGCCACAGGATGCAAAAGGGAGTGGATAGGAACAAGAAACAAATTGTACGTCACCTCAGGGATTTAGCGATGGCCTTCCAAATACTTCCAGATGAAGTATTTCTGTAATCTTCCTATTTCCTATTACTTGAGAAAAGATCAAGAATCACTTCTAAAGGCCAGTTTAAGCCTTTGTTGTCTACGTAGAGTAACGAATAAGTCAATCTGCCTCATAATTTCATCCTGTTTCATGCCTTCATAGTTGCCAATATTCTTGAAACTGACAACCACAAACCATAAAGAATTCTCCCACTCCGTCCACCCCGATCTGCAAGACAGTCACTCCCCCTTCATTCCAAATGAATTTCTTCCAGTAAGTTTCTTCTGCAGTAGGTGGGATAGGAGAAAGATGCTTTTACAATCCAAGTTAATCATATCCCTAAAATATATTAAAATGTGAAATTAATAATGTTCATCCTACTCACAAGAAAAGAAAGCCCATTAGATTTGATTCAAAGTATAAGTTCATGACAGCCAGATGCCTTGAAACCTAGTCTGTGTCCTTTTATTGTCCCTGATGCTTTTTGAGCTGGTGTTCATCTTAACATCCAAACAATTTTTAGAAGAAATTAGTTTCTTCAAAGCTGTTGCTTAAAGGAGGATATTAGACCAAAAAAACCCAAGACAAAGCCAAACAAAAAAACCTGTTACTAAGTGTTCCCTTTTTTTCTGCATTGGTAATATCAGAGAAGGATACACACAACTGTTCTTTCTTTTAAACTGCTTTTATAGTCAGTGGAATAACCTGCAGGGCTCACAGTTGCCATAACTATATGCACGGCTGGATAATATTTTGAGATATTTATGGGTCGTTGTTTTGTTTTTTCCATCCTTCATTTTCCCCTTTCCAATCTACCATTTGAGTTGGTAGTAAGCTGTGTGTGTCAGTGCCTGGGGGAAGTCAGGGAAGAGTGCAGTGTAAGTCTGGAAATTTTATTGGCTTTTGTTTCCAAAAGTCGAAAACCTAGAGGATAAAGTCTGAGAAAATAAGCTTGGAGAAGCAGAAGAGAAAGAGATACGATTCTCTTTATTAATGAGGGCCCCAACCCAAGCAAGAGAGCTCAGGTTGTTGGCCTCGCTTGCGAGAGGAGCTGTGCGTTGCTCCCTGGCCTCAAAATGCTGGTCTCCTGAGGCACGTCAGGCCTGGGGCTCCAGGCCTCACAGAAGGTTCCTCTGCTTCATCCGAGGCTGTGCCTGAGTGCCAATTGGAGGCCTCAGAGAACCACTTGGGCTTGGCCAACAAGGATGGCTAGAGTGACCAGAGTAGATTGGAGATTATTACTTCTTGGGCATCAGGTAGGATGATTGAATTTTAGAAATCCTCGAAGATTCCCTCTTCTGTGGAGCCCAGGAATGGTGGAGAAATAGTCTGCCACCATTACAATGGGTTAAGGACTCAGAAGTTTGTTCATTCATTTAAAAATCTATTTAACAAATATTTGTTAAAAGCAAAAAAAAAAAAAAAAAAAGCAATTGATAAGTCAGGCACTGTTCTAGTGGCTTAGACACATTCATGAACCAAAGGAAGATCCCTACCCTCATGGAGATGAAGTTATTTTCTGAAGTCATATTTCTCTGAGCAGTCCTTTTCTTCACCGACTTCCTCCTTCTGACCCAGGTCCCCTTGCCACCCCCAGCCTTGGGGCAGAGAGAGGGAATGAGTCCGAGGGGACTGTTCAGGAACGTGAAGGTTGAGATGGGGCAGAGGGAGAGAAACACTGTGGAGAATATGCCAAGGGAAGGCCCCTCCTTGAGGAAGAGTGCTGATAGAGGTAAACAGCTAACAGGATCCTGGGCCCCAGAATTCACATAATTCTTCCCCTTTGGACCTGCAGTTTTGTCTTCCTTCACCATTGCTGCACTGACTTTTTTCCCTCTGGTGACGCTTTGCCCAACACCCTCTCTTTCTGCTCCAGGTTTGGTGATAGCTGGTGCAGTCTATGCCAGTATTTTGTCTCACAGGCTCTTTGCCAGGATTACATCACGAGCTGATTGTCTGTGTGCTCATGTGATGAGAACAAGCAGGCTTGTCTCCTAGAAACAGAATCTTGGAGACACCGGTTGTGATTGTCTTTCGAAAAGCTTAGTTCAAAAGGATAATGTCTTCAGACAAGATAATTTCAGAATTTGCCTCTTTCTCAAGTCACCTTAGTATTTTTCTGGTCTCTCTGACATAATGCACAAGTGGACCAATCAACTCATCATTCTCCTTCCATCAAGGCCAACTGAACTGATGTCTCCATTGGAGAAGAAGTAAAACAATAAGCAATCAGTCTACATTTTGTAGAGTATTTCCACTTTGATTCAATTTATTTTTGTCCTTTTCTTTTCAGTGTCTCCCATATAGGCTTTATGTGTTCCTGTTGTAAGCACTGTATGGTCAACTATCTAATGAGAAGCAAGTCCAGAAATATCTCCTAACTACTCTTCTA